TTCCCGGATAGACTGGAAAGTATGAATTCCAGATCCACTAAACCAGATGCAACGTATCACCCACCATATCCTTTTTACGCTTGTCTTAAAACTTCTGAAATGAATATACTTTGCGTTGACAAAATGCAATCATGACTAAAGGCATGAAAAACTTTAAACTAATGAATTTTTGCAGGCTTGCAGGACATGGGTCGACCATAGGGTTGGCGTATTCATTAGAAAAAGGGCAAATCAGTCAGCGCACAAAGCATGCGTCGACCATAGGGTCAGCGCATGAAGGAATGACATTCCAGCGGGTCAGCGCGTAAAAGCATGGGTCGACCATAGGGTCGGTACACAAAGGAAATGGATTTCAACGGGTCAGCGCACGCCGACTGTATGGTCGACGCACACTGATGAAATTTCCAGAAATCCAAAACAGCACAGGCCATGCGTCGACGCACAGACCTGTTATGGTCGACCGTTCGCGCAGAAAATCTATTTTAAAATACTTCCCTCTCATATTTGAAATAATGTTATGTCCTGAATTATGTTGGCACTATATATACTTGCTTAAACACTTGTGTCTACCAACATTTGATATTCTTTTGATTCATGTGTTCAAAAACAAGAAAGAGTGAAATAGGTGTCCAAGATTCATCATCTTCATCTTCAACATCTCACAACATTTCAATTACACACAATCATTTTTGAAATGCATTTGTGAGAGATTCAAGGTGATAAGGTTCGAGGCTTAGATTGGAGAATCAAGCTCGGGTTGAAGATTGTGACAGGTTCTTTCTTGAATAAAACCATTGGGGTTTTACCCTCCAAGATTGGTTCGAATTTTGGGGGTTTTTGGACGAGATTCTTCATCAACGATCAATCGAGCGAAGGTGATTGTGAAGAGGTGGTCTTCACAAGTATAGTAGTGGATTCGATGATTTTTGAAGGGAAGATCTCGGGTTCGATTTGGTGCTGTTGAGATCAGCCGGAGCCAAAGGTTTGAACAACGTGTTCTTCAATAAGGTGGCTGGAGTCGGAGGTCCATCAACACAAATCGAAGAACTTGATTCAGCTTGAATCAAGGGGCAAGGAGTGAAGGCAACTTTCAACACATTGAGATTTTTGTTGTATATTTGCTGCTCAATCCTTGTATAAACTGTTCATTCAAACAGGTGATATCTATACAATATATCTCAATTCTAGTTTTAGAATTGAGGGCAGACGTACCCCGAAGCGAGGACGACGGGGGAACTGCCTCACCAAATTACTTGTCTTCTCTATTTTTAGCATTTACGTTACATCTCAAATAAGTAATTTTTGTGTAAGCTCTATTGTCAAAATTGTGATATCAATTGAGTAAGAGGTTAAAACTTTGTTTTTAACTCTAAAGTACAACAATACATTGTACTAGGCTGGTTGAAATCACTTACTCAACATAAACATCACTTGGAGTGTTTTTGCACACGAAGTGTTTGACATATTGCTTGAACCAAAATTATCTTACTTGTGTATCTAGTTTTGGTTTGATTTTGAAATCATTGGAACTAGGAATCCTTACAACTGAAGTAAATAATTGATAAGTGTAGTTTGTGTTGTGATTCTATTTTTCCGAATTGTCATTAATCCATAGGCTTACGTATATCCGGTTTTCCAATAACCGTTCGTTTTAGACTATATTTTTCCTCGGCCGCTTCCGCACTTAAAACATTTTTAAAACCAATTTTAAATTGGTAGCGCCGACTCAAATTTTAATTGGGGATCTATTCAACCCCCCCCCCCCCCTCTAGATCCGTGCCATAGTCTAACAGGGATGTCTTAGTATAGTTTCCGATTAGTGATAGTTTGAGTTGTTGAACTCAAGCAACATGTTTCCATATAGTGCGTGGGTTTGTGAGCTCAAGTCTTACCCCTTCCCATTGACTTGAGTTAGGATTGGTTAGACCTTTGTAAAGCCGAGAGAATCCATAAGATAGGGAACCCACTGAGATTATTATCTCACCCCATGTTGTTGATTATATTTCTGGTGGTTTAGGTTTTGTGAAGGGTAAAGACAAAGTTATTTGATGCCCTTACTTGTCCTAACTTTTTGGATGACATTGTTTCCGCTGTGAAGACTCTATTTTGAGATCATTTGATATGATCTAGCTCTTAGTCTTTTGGAGAATCTTGTGTATATTATGCAATGCTTAAAAAAAATTTTATGTTTTGGCATGTAATGTATACAATATGCTACTAGGAACTTATTTGTATTTCAATACCAAACTTGCAAACATGTATAATATGTATCTTCTAGACATATGTATTTATATATGGGTGTTACAGATCAACTTAATAAATAGCACTGCAACTACAATTGAGATATACACGCAACTATATTCATATAAGCTCAAGAGCAGCTTCTATGTTAAAGTGTTCTTATTCTTGTATAACTTAAGAATCCTTTATGTAAAAGTGTGTTGTATTGTATTAGGCAGAGTGTCTAAGAAATGAAGTCATAAACCATGATGGTTTAAGCAAGAAAATTCTTAGGATCTGAGGATCTGATCAGAGAAGTCTTAATCAGGTGTTGATTAAGCAAGTAAGTCTTAGACTGTAGTTCTGAGCAGGGAAAGTCTTATACTGGTGAATATAAGCAGTTGTAATCAGGTTGATTATAGTGGAAATTTCTTGCATGGCAAGAGGACTGTAGTACTCTCAGTTGGTCAGGAACCAGGATAACTGTTGTGTGTTATTTGTTGTTTTTATTTACTTCTGTTATATTTTTCACTGCATTTATTATCAATTTCTGAACTTTGGTTTAGAATCTGAACACTGGTTTAGAAGTAAAAAGAATTTTGCAAACACAGTTCAACTCCCTTTCTTGTGTACTTTTCTCACCTTCACATTGTTGTTTTTTCAAGTTTTAATATTGACTTTGTAGAGGAAAAAATTTGGAGGGGGTCATGTTGTTGAACTTATGTCAGGAATCTAGCATACGCATCAGTAAGGCCCAAGATCATTTTTAATACAAAACGAGTATAGTGACAGGAGATCCAACGTTGTCCAAATAAGCTTAAGTTGATTACAGTAAGCTTTGGTGGATGGAAAATCCTCCAGGTTTGTGTTACCAAATTGATTTTTGAGTTGAACGGCACGCACATGTTTGTTGTCAAGAAATATTGTGGCGATGCAGTTCCAACATGCTTCAGCAAAGTCATCAGCCAAAAGAATATAATTGAGAATATCTTGTGTGACGGTTGCATACATCCACTACAATAAAACAACATCGAGGCAATTCCAAAGTTCAGAATCCTTTACCTTAGCGGCGGTCACGACTATTCAGGTTGTTTCGTCAGTGGGCGATATGATATGATCAAGAAGGTTGCAAATATGTACTTGCATCTTACACTGGGGAAACCATGATAAATAGAGATTGAAATCATTATCCAATGTTACCGGGATGATGGCTTCGATGTTGGTAATGGATAAAGCAGTGTGATAGTTTGTTTTTACCATTGGAGGAGCAAGATGGTTTGATACCGACGAAGTGTCATCAGCATCGTTTATAGGGGGTTGTTGTTCTCAGACATGACAATGTTTGAAAGGAGGGAAGTAGTGGTTAAGAGAAAGAAATTTGATTAGGATTTTTAAAGTGGATACCATATAAGAATGTAATCTATTGATTGTCATTGATAAGTTTTCTTTTATATATAATTGTTTCTGATTTTAATAAGGAATACTAATAAAGCCTAATTAATGTAATTACATATTTGAGAAGAAAATTAATAATGTACAGTAAATATGATTGATTCTATTAATAATGTATAGTAAATATGACTGATTTTAATAGTCAGTTATTATTAATCAAAAGGAATGTAAGTCATATTTATAATTATTTAGATTATGTCATTTAGTTTTAAACTTATGAATTTACCCTCTTTCTTAAAGGTATTTGAAGTCAATAGTTATTTATTTTCATTTGTCGACCAACAATTTTTATGATAATGTATTTGTGGCTTTTTTAAGTTTAAAATAGATGTGGAAATTATCGACTCAGTATACAACAATAATAAAGAACTTATTCTAAAATATATATACTTTTTCATAGAAGAGATCAAATAAAACTCTAGCAGGTTGGTCATCTAAAACATAGAAGACTCATAATAAGTATATAGTGACCCAAGCGAGATCAAGCGGTGGACAACAACGATAAAGTGGTGGATTTTCCACTTGAACGTGACATAACCTCCTCTATTGGAACATCAATACGAGCTAAATCTCTATTAAAATTATGCATATGTTGATCATACAAGCCACTTGGGCATTATGCAGGTGCGTTATACATGTTGCTTCCAATTTATGATGGTTCAATTGATTGGTATTATAAAGTTATGCATCATACATGCCAGTTGGGCATTATGTAGGTGCATCATACAAGCCAATTGAGCATTATGCATATTTCTCACTCAGGCCACTTGGGCATTAAGCAGTATATTTGGCAGAAAATTTGATAAGAAAACATTAGACAATAAGCATTAGTAATTAACCAAGTTAAGCAGTCACTTGGTGCAATACAAGTTGTTACAAAAAGGCACACTTTGGTGTAATACAAGACATTCCAAAAAGGCACACTTGGTGCAATACAGGCTGTTCCAAAACGGGCACACTTGTGTATTATAAAATAATAAGATAACAAAATAATAAACAACAACTGGGATCATCATTGAGACATTTGCCTAGAAATCTCTTCCCATGTCTTCATTTTGCTCACGCAAGAACCTAACTTGGGGTCTTGATTGGAAGGGCCAGTAGATTCATCAACTGTGTTATCAACTTCTAATCATGCATATGCACTTGATCCTGGGCCATCATTGTTCCTAGACCTCTATATTGTCTTCAAACTTTCACTACTTCTCTTAGGTGCCGTTTCCTTTTTCTTTTTTTCAAATTGTCTTCTTTGAAATTGTTTTCTTTAGTGTTATGGGTTCAGAAACTGGTGTTGGATTGTATAATTAGGACTACTGATTTTAGGAAGGTTAAGTATCATAAGAGGCCATCATTTCTTCAATAACTGCATCTAATTCTGGGTCATTCCAGCCTTGTTTAACACCTTCATTATCATTTCTAGCAACAACAATAGCCATACTTATATCATCATTTCCAGCAGTAGTTTTACCCATACCTACATCATCATTTCTAGTAACACTTTTACCCTTGGTTCTTAGGATTTTTCTCTGGAAAACACACAATGCAATTAGTTAATACACAATGCAGTCAGTTAATACACAATACAGTAATCAAAATAACAATGATAAGGTACCTTTCTTTTCAATGCATTTGGGTTTTGTTCATTTCTTTTGTATTTCCTCGAGTTGTGACCATATTGATCGCATTTTGTGCATCTATAAGCTACATCAGACATCCTCATCCTTGACCCTGTTTTGCCATGCTCTATAAACCTTAACTTCTTAGGCCTACATGGTTCTTTCTTATACTTTGGTGGTAACATTTCTTCAACATCCACATTTGGCCACATGTCTATCCCATTGATGAGGCTCACATTATTTTCATAGCATATTTGATATACCTTTGTCATGTAACATGCATCCACATCTAACTTTGGATTCAGACTTTAATAATTCATAGAACAACAACATGCATACAAGGTATTCCCACTAGATTCCAAAAACAACATGAACACTTTTTCCCAAGAACCACTTCAAATTGAAGACCATTAAATGGGTGGTAAACCTGTCATATCTCACTCATACTCCAAGTTGGAAGCCATTGTATGTAACACATTTTTCTACTCCACAAAATAAAAGACAAAGTATTCACATTTATCAGAGTAAAATATTAAATTCAATAGAAATCACCTCAAAGGGCGTACATTTCTCAATAAATCAAATATAAGTCAAAGCTCCGTAAACAACAGGTTTTCTCAAAAGATATCAAAAATTGCAGCGGAACTCAAAAGGCATAATACAAAGTTTTCCTTATACAGGAACATAATCAAAATAACCAAATCAAATAAAATAAGGTTTGACTCAAAGACCCCAACCCGATGTTACACTATCAGAGCATGACCCTCTAAGTCAACCACCATGGCCAACGACCCAAAAACTTCAAAAGCCTTCGATGGCATCCACGGCTAAACCTGGTCATCTGCATGTTACCCACGTGGAGGCAACATTCAAACAAGCAGAGTGAGTAAAACGATTTATGATAATCAATGTAGGAAATCAACATATAAAATGGCGTCATTTTCATATTCAACATCATCATATTCATAAAGGAACATCAAATGCCACAACATCATAATTTACTCAAGATCATCTCATAAGTGCAAATGCAAACAAGACTCATGCATGTGGTACCAATCATCACAGCTCGATGGACACTAGGCCATCAACCCTCCAAAGATCTCCATCAATAGGATCGATTCTACTCGAGAACCAGAGCATATCAAAATACCTCACATCCGCACAATGGGATTGAAGCCAAAGAAATCAAGGTCCTGAACCAAAGTCCGGATGCACATGAATGCATGATGCACTCGTCAATAATCATCCTCAGAATAACATCATATGTGCATCATCATTCATCATAATCATCATCATCAAAAATCATGTCATCATAGTATCATCAAAACTCATGGAAATATCATCATAGTTCATCAATCATTACATCATAGGAACAATCATATAATCATGTACAAATCACATAGAATTCACAATCGTACTCATATTCATTCGTCAAAGAAATCACATCATCAAAACATCAAGGCATCACTGCACAAAATCAGAATTTGCGAAACTCTGCTACGTTCGCTAGCAAGTTCGTTGTGCGAGTCTGGGGCGAGTTTCTTTGCAGTGCAAGTTTGGGACGAGTTTCATTCGATGTGCGAACACGCGATGACAGTGAAACGCTATTACGTACCAGAACTTAAAATCAACCCCAAAGTCCCACGATTCACTTCCCCAATAACCCAAAAACATCCCTAAATCATCCCTAAGGTCTTACGGTGATAAAGGCACAAAATCTACGACTTATTAGGCCAATCCCGTATCATATTCACGCTCTAAATCTCATAAATCCTTACAACTACACTCCAATCATTAGAGTTCCTCATTATCAAATTTTCCTACAGGGTTAGACAAATGTCAAATCAGAGATTTAGCCATGAAGGCCTAATTTCCTTTAACCCAAATAAATCCCTATACAGTTAAAATCTCAATAATAGATTTTGGCAACGAAGACCAATTTTCCTTTATCCCATAATCAGCCTCAAACCCTTTAAACCCTTAAATCGGCCTTAAATACATTGAAATTACACATTGAAAACAATGAAGGCAATACTCTTCATACCTTAATTGTCGGCTCTAAGCCTTCTCAAATCTTTCAGAAAATCTTTCGAAGCTTTTGCCTCAAACCTCCTCCTCAGAGCTCTGGCCTCAATTCTTTTCACGGTCGAACAAAATAAATCATAATCTCATCACAATTTCCTTTTTGTTAAACCTAACATTGGGCCTTAAAATTGGGTTTTCCAATATTACCCTCACTAACTCCTCCTCAATTGTCCAATTTGCCCTTAGTTAACTTATATTTATTTAAATTAATAATAATATCAATATATTCATATTATATACTATTATTTAAATAAATAACTTAAAATCCATAATTCTCAATATTTCACAACCATCACCGAAAATTACCAAAATGCGAATATTCTTATTTAAATAAATTAAATGAATATTCCAATAAATTTAGGGTGTTACAACTCTCCCCCACTTAAAAGAATTTTCGCCCTCGAAAATTACCTCAAGGAAACAGAGTCAGATACGACTCCCTCATCTGATCTTCACGCTCCCAAGTCCAACTTTCTCCAGCAGGTCCTCCCCAAACTACCTTCACCAATGTGATCTCTTTACCTCGCAGCTGCTTCACTTCTCGTTCATCAATCCGAACTGGCAACGCCTCAACAGTCAAGTCATCTCTCACTTGTACATCATTCATCTGAATCACATGCGACGGATTTGGAGTGTACTTCCTCAACTGAGGCACATGAAACACATCATATAAATTCGCAAGCGACGGCGGTAAAGCAATCTGATATGCTACTTCCCCCACCCTTTGTAAAATCTGATACGGACCAACAAAACGCGATGTGAGCTTTCGAGACTTCAAAGCTCGGCCAACACCAGTTACCGACGTAACCCTCAAAAACACATGATATCCCTCTTGGAATTCAATTGCTTTCCTCCTCTTATCATGGTAACTCTTCTGACGAATTTGTGACGCTTTCATCTTTTCTTGGATCATCTTGATCTTTTCAGTCGTCTCTTGCACAATCTCAGGTCTAAGTACAACACTCTCGCCTGACTCATACCAACAAAAAGGAGTCATAAACCTCCTACCATATAAAGCCTCATACGGTGCCATTCCGATACTAGAATGATAACTATTATTGTAGGTAAACTCAATCAATGGCAAATGACTATCCCATGATCCATCTTGATCTAACACACAAGCTCTCAGCAAATCCTCTAAAGACTGGATAGTTCTCTCTATTTGTCCATCTGTCTGCGGATGATAGGCAGAACTCAACCTCAACTTAGTACCCAAAACTGTCTGCAAACTTTCCCAGAACCTCAATGTAAATCTCGGATCTCTATCAGACATAATACTTGAAGGAATACCATGCAGTTTCACAATCTGATCAATATATAATTCGGCAAGCTTCTGCAACTAATAATTGATCCTCATCGGTATAAATGAGCCGATTTGGTCAATCTATCCACAATCACCCAAATCGAATCATATCCCTTCAAAGTCTTCGGTAAACCGGTTACAAAATCCATAGAAATGCTATCCCATTTCCATTCTGGAATATTCAACGGTTGCATCAGACCCGACGGTCTCTGATGTTTAGTCTTTGACTTCTGACAAGTCAAAGAAGCATACACAAACTCTGCAATTCCCTTCTTCATACCTGGCCACCAAAACAACTTCTTAAAATCTTGATACATCTTTGTGGCACCAGGATGATCACTCAACCTACTTCTGTGACCTTCCTCAAGAATGCTCTTCTTGATTTCTGGCACATCAGGAACACACACTCTGCCTCTGAACCTCATCACACCATTCTCATCGATCCGAAAATCACCCCCGTTACCTTGATTGATTAACATGAGACGATCCACTAAACTCAAATCAGATTTTTGACCTTCTCTGATTTGTTGGAGAATACCACTAGTCAACTTCAGCATACCCAACTTCACACTATTAGGAGTCTCTTCACAAATCAAACTCATATCTCTGAATTTCTCAATCAGTCCTAACTCTCGAACCATAAGCATCGACATATGTAAGGACTTCTTGCTTAACGCATCAGCCACAACATTAGCCTTACCAGGATGGTAACTCAATTCAAAATCATAATCCTTCAGAAGTTCACGTCATCTTCTCTGCCTCATGTTTAACTCTTTCTGATCAAACAAATACTTCAGGTTCTTGTGATCACTGAACACTTCGAACCTAGACCCAAAAAGATAATGTCTCCAAACCTTCAACACAAACACCACAACGGCCAACTCTAAGTCATGCGTAGGATAATTACTTTCATGAACCTTCAGTTGTCTAAAAGCATAAGCAACGACCTGACTATTCTGCATCAATACGCCTCCAAGACCCATCTTCGATGCATCATAATACACTACAAAAGACTCACTCAGATTTGGCAAAATCAACACTGGAGTAGTCATCAACTTCTTCTTGAGTTCTACAAAACTCCTCTCACAAGCAACATCCCACACATAAGCTTGACCCTTTCGAGTCAACTGAGTCAATGGAAGTGCCAACTTTGAAAAGCCTTCTATAAACCTGCGATAATAACCAGCCAACCCAAGGAAACTTCGAATCTCAGTAGCAGACTTTGGAGTCTCCCACTGCAACACAGCATCAACTTTCGACGGATCAACCACAATTCCTCCACTAGAAATCACATGGACAAGGAAACTCACTTCCTTCAACCAAAACTACCACTTGGACAACTTGGCATAAAGCTTCTTGTCACCCAAAACCTGCAATACCACTCTTAGATGTTGCGCATGCTCTTCCTCGGACTTAGAATATATTAAGATATCGTCAATGAACACTACCACAAACTGATCCAAATAAGGATGAAAAATCATGTTCATATACTCCATGAATACACCAGGTGCATTAGATACACCAAACGGCATCACATTATATTCATAGTGTCCATACCTTGTCCTGGAAGCTGTCTTCGAAATATCATCAGGTTAACGCGAATCTGATGGTAACCAGACCTCAAATCAATCTTGCTAAACACACAAGCACCCACCAATTGGTCCATCAAATCATCAATCCTCAGAAGTGGATACTTATTCTTGATTGTTACTTTATTCAATTGTCGATAATCCACACACAATCTCATGCTACCATCTTTCTTCTTCACCAACAGCACAGGAGCACCCCACGGAGAAACACTCGGTCGAATAAACTTCTTCTCAA